ATGCAGAAAAGCCGCCTCTTTTTCCGAATCGCGTAGATGACCACTATTTTTCTTTCATCTCTTCTGATACATTTTCAGTCAAATCGTTTTCTGTGTGCTAGATCAGAGCTAGAACCCTGCATTTCAGCCCGGGCCCGAGCCCGACGGGCCCCGACTTTTTTACGCCCCTCGGGCTGGGCTTCAGGACAATTTTCACGTCATAGTTCAGACGTGGGCAGGGCTTCGGGCCTGTTTTAGGCTTCTCCTTATTTTTATATTTTAGACATCCATCAATTAGTGATGAAAACATTGCCGTGCTGGTGGAAACAACACGAGACCGTGCTACCGTGACTGTCAAGAGCGGCTCGACGGTGTTTAGTGTTCAGCAGCAGCAGCATGCTTGCCGTCAGCGCAGCTGAAGAGTTCTGTGTTCAAATGCACGCAATAGGCTTAAGTTTGCCGCAAAGCATTGGCAAAAGTAATTACCATAAATGCGTCAGGGGGAAACAGTAAGGAGATATTTTAATTATTTACTAATAAACTAGTGTTTTCTGAGTCGGTGTCGCAAGGATGAAGTTGCCGATCCTGACTCGCCATCTCCTCAGACGCGCCTTTAGAGAGAAGTGCATCTTTACGGATTATGATTATAATGAAAGAGTTTTTGTTTTTTATTTGTTTTATTTCATTTGAATTCGTGACAGGCCGCGGGTTGAGAACCACTGGCTTATAGCATAAGGTCAAGTCCACGTTGCACTTTAAAGGCCCTGATACACTTCAAACGAAATTGAAAAACAAACTGGTGTGGCATCATTTCAAGCAAAGTTTGTATGGAGTTGTCTGGAAGTTCAAAACATCTTGCTCTGGCTGGTAAACAGTTTCCAACTGCCACTGGTCCATGGCTATTATGTAATATGTTAGTGTGGCTTTGTGGCTCTGCCTTCTTTGACGTGGAAATCTTCTCTGGTTCATTTCTTTTGTTAAGTCCATTGAGGTCATATGCAATTAAAAACTTGAACACTCTGTTCAGCTGCTTCATAGTAGAAATTGTAATTCTGCAATGCTAATCTAAAGTGACACTGACACTGTTTTTTCATGTTTAAAGGGGTCATTTGATGCGATTTCAAGTTTTCCTTTCTCTTTGGAGTGTTACAAGCTGTTCATGAATAGATATGATCCCTAAAGTTGCAAAGACTAAAGTCTCAAACCCAAAGAGATATTCTTTATAAAAGTTAAGACTGGTCTGAAGGCGCTGTGTGTTTCGTTGTGAAAGCGAAACTACTTTGTTTGGCCTTCCAAAAATGGACACGACTAGAAATCAGTGGTTAAGTTGTATTTACAACACTGTTCCAGAACAGTTCAACCCAAATATTCAGATGTGTGCAGCTAGGGCTGGGCGATATAGCTAAAGAAATGTATCAACGCGAACATTTTTTCTATCGATATCGAAGAAGGTGTACCTTCGATAAATATCGATACCGTTTTATCGCCCAGGCCTCAGAGGAAACCTCACTTTTCAGACCGATGAGCTTTGTAAAAATCAGCGCGTTTCAGAAAGGCGGGGCATAGAGGAGAAACAATAATGTACAGTATGTGGAAAATAATGTGTTTTTTGAACCTTAAACCGCATAAACACATTTCATTACACCAAATACAGAAAATAATGTTCTTTTTTGCAATATCATATGACCCCTTTAAGACTGTAAAGCTGCTTGCTTTATACAACAGTGTCTGTTGTATGAAGTAGTGGTCGACGGATAAGGATTTTTTTGATTGCTGATGCATATGCCGATATCTTAGAGAGCAGGGTGGCCGATATAATACCGAAATAAATTATATCACTATTTAATTTAAAGATTGTAAAAGCACATGCATAATTGAGGAAATTAAATTTATATTTATTTTACATTATTTGGAACTCTGAATAGGGACTGACAGGCGCTGACATTCTTAGTGTTGTCAAAATAAAAGTCCTATGCACTGTAAAAAATTAAATTTAAATGTAGTAAAAGCACAAGCATAACTGCTGAAATGAAATGTGTTTATTTTAAATAATTTGAAAATGATTAAATATGAAAATTGATAAAAAAAATACATCTGTAAAATAAACTTCTATTTAGATGACAACTGCTATCAGTACTAGTACTACTAACAATAGAAAAAGAAACGCTACAATTCTTGGTATAAATTTACTTTTTTTGTTTAACAGTTCTTCTGTCTACTAATTAATTATTACAACTGTTAAATGGAGACAGTATATTAAAGATGGAGAATGGGAGTTCCGTGCGCTCAGACAAAGACCCAAGACGTGTCACTCGTATAGTTTTGAATGGGGAAAAATGCAACCCTCAATATGGCCGCTCTATCGAACGAAGCCCCGCCTTCTGAGCAAAAGAGCCAATCCCTAATCGGTAAAGTCAGCGTGTCACTGCAGCTGCTGTTAGAAGTCCCGGTTGCTATAGAAACAGTCAGCAGTCTGAGACGTGCGCTCAGGACTGCGCATGCGCACTGGCTGGTCTAGCCTGAGAAATAAACTTTTTTTTAATGCTATTTGAGCAAAATAAACAACATTTATGAGACTGTTGTTGTCAGATTTCATTGGTGATTTCAAATATGAAATTGAATCGCAAGCTTGGCGAGCAGTTTTGTAGAATTTGATATTTCCCCATTCAAAGAGATAGGAGCTGCACTTGCATGCCCGAGAGGCGTGCCTTAAAGTGACTTTGGCTCAGATGCTGACATTCTCAGTGCTGTCAAAATAAAAGTCCTGTGCACTATTAAAATAAAAGTTCGCTTTGGACACATCTCCAAACAGAAAAACTTTCTGGCCCATGCCGATAATTAAAAATTCCAGATATCGGCCGATATATCAGCTGACCACTAGTATAAAGGGCTATATAAATAAACATGATGTGACTAGACTGCCGAATTGCAGATCTGGTACAAACATATCCACATCGCTATGATCAAATGCTGTTTTCTCTCCACTGTCATTTTTGTTGTTTATTTTGTTATTGAGAGGAGAGTGCGCAGCATATTCATATTTATCTAAACGCCATTCCCAGCAGTGTGTGTGGTGTCGGACAGTATACCGCTGCTCAGTTATATCAAACATTTTTTTACCACTAAACGAGGAATGAAAAATAACTTCTTCATGAGTATATCAGGCCCTTAACAGTCTGCAGCTGAATTCCTATCAACCCTGAAACCAACATATGACATTCGGAAGTAGCAGGACGGAATTATATCGTATCGACCGAAATTAAGAAATATATCGTGATATCAATTTTGGCCATATCGTCCAGCCCTAAGCAGGAGGCAGTTTTCCCTGATAAAAACACAGCATTTAAGCATCTGAAGTGACATTTATGGAGTCTGGTTTGTGACAGAACTGTGATGCACTTCCATACATATCTGCTTGAAGGACGTGGGGCATTTATCAAAGCTGAAGCCACAGTTAGAGACTTTATATCAGGCCTGCAGTGTCAGATTGACAAGGAGAAACTCTCCAAGAACTGTACTTATCCAGAGTGAGAAAACAAATTCCTCGTATGTGTAAACATACCTGGCAATAAAGCTCATTCTGATTCTGAAGGACATGTCGGGGCCACTAAGCTCCTCTAAAGTGGAGCAGGAAGCCATGAAGGGAGGGAGTGAGTGAGGGTGAGGAAACCAGAATAAGCCGTATCTAAGGATCCAGGAATAGCTCAACTAGCTCCATGCGGTTAACAAGGAAAAGACAGAAGAAGACGAGGAGGAGTAAAGTGGTGGAGATGTTGATTAGATGAGTGTTTTTGTGAGTCTGTGCATGTGTGAGCGTACAAACTTCATCAGGAGAGAGAGCTTAGTCAGAGTATTGAGGAGGAATGGATGAAGGTCTAGACTGAAGATCATGACTGAGAAACTAGGTAAGTCCACAGCAGAGCTGGTGTGTGTTAAACCTCTCTCAGCCTCTCAGGTCTGGAGTCAGGAGGGTGTGACCTTTCTGACCTCTGCCTGTGTTTCAGAGCGTTAACTCTTGGTTAAGGTTGACATCTGTCTGTTCATGTCCTGTACAACAAAGAGGAACAGTTAGCTTTGGCTCTGTCAGTCTATAGTTTTAAAGAATCCATGAAGGCACAATTTTCTTTCCTGTGCTGATGTATTTCCTGTTGAGACAGGAAGTTGGGGCGGAACATGCACTACTGCTAAAAAGTTTGTTATTAGTAAGATTGTAAAGGAAATTAATCATTTTATTCAGCAAGGATGCATTAAATGCATTGAACTTTCTGTCTATCAAAGAATCCTGAAAAAAAAGTATCACGAGTTGCACAAAAATATTAAGCAGCACAGCTGTTTTCAGCATTGATAATATTAAGAAATGTTTCTTGAGCAGCAAATCAGCATATTAGAATGATTTCTGAAGGATCATGTGACACTGAAGACTGGAGTGATGATGCTGAAAATTCAGCTTTACATCACAGGAATAAATTACATTATAAAATGCATTAAAATAGAAAACAGTTATTTTAAATTGTAATAATATTTCACAGTATTACAATTGTACTGTAATTTTGATCAAATAAATGCAGCATAAAAGATTTATTTAAAAAAATACTTACACCTAAGATTAATAAAGGCTGTGATATATTGTCCATTTTTATTGTTTATTTTTTGGTCAATTTGAAGCACCTTGAATTTATTGGGTCTTTAATTCACATGTCTTTTAATGTAAAGATGAAAATATTCCAATATCTTAAGTAAAAAGTATTTACTTTTTTTTTTTTAATCATAATTTTGAGTGAAAAAAAAATCTGACACTAAGGTGGGCCTACTTAACATGAACTGTATGTGTGTATTCACCTGTGTCCATGTTTTCTTCTACAGCACGCAAACAGGAAATCATCAAGATCACAGAGCAGCTGATAGAAGCCATCAATAATGGGGACTTTGATGCCTATGCGTATGTTACAGACACAATGTTATGCTATGCTTTCTTACAGACACAAACCACTTTGGCCCAACACATACTATATTGTACAAATATAAGAGCACTATAGCGGCCATTAGTGTAAACTGTCTTCTTCTACAGTCAGTTCTGCTCGCATGGTGGAGCAACAGTTTTATTAAGAGTAAGATGAAAGTAACTATCCATGTATATAGCAGCTACCTGAATAATAATACACAATGGGATCGTTGTAACAGGAAAATCTGTGACCCTGGATTGACATCCTTTGAACCCGAGGCTTTGGGGAACCTGGTTGAGGGAATGGACTTCCATAGATTCTACTTTGAGAACTGTAAGTGTGTTCAAGCAGAAAGACTAAATCATTTATGTGTCTTATAAATCACAAGAAATGGCAGTAGCACCATGCACATGATCTTTCTCCGTGTGTGTGTTTCTCCGCAGTGCTTTCTAAGAACAGCAAGCCCATCCACACCACTATCCTGAACCCTCACGTCCACCTGATTGGAGAAGAGGCCGCCTGCATCGCCTACATCCGCCTCACTCAGTTTGTGGATGGGCAGGGCCGGCCATGCAGCAGCCAGTCAGAGGAGACCCGCGTGTGGCACCGCCGGGACTCCAAATGGCAAAACGTTCATTTCCACTGCTCCGGTGCGCCGGCTGCCCCTCTCCAGTGAAGGTGACGCTTGGATTTGTTTTCACACTGGAGCTTTTTGTGTGGATTCAGATCTGTTTCTCAGTAGAGTTTGATTGTTTTGGTTGTTGTCAAAATGGATTCTGAACAGATCTAGACACCAGAATATAGAAAAACTTGAGGGTGGGCTCTTTTGACTTGCAGTAACACCCTGGCATTGTGAATGAGAGTACTGATGCACATTTTCTTCAGAAAGTGTAAATCTATATCAAGATTGCACATAGTTAAATACATAAATTAAAAACAAATATAAAATATACATCATAATCATTAAGATTTTATCGAGATAAATTATTGTTGTTGTTTTTTATTCAGCAAAGACGCATTTACTAAATAATGTTACAATTCAGCTTTTCCATACAGGAATAAATTATATTTTAAAATATAATCAAATAGAAAACATTTAAATTTGTAATATTTCATAATATTACTGTTTTTGCTGTATGTTCATCAAACAGATGCAACCTTGGTAAGCATAAGCAGGGTTATAATAGTTAACTGAAACGGACACCATAAAAACATTTTCTTCACCTGAAATAAAATACACAATAACTGAAATAAATAAAATATAAAAAACATAAACTCATTTTATCTCTGCTTATTGACAAGGCAACATTTCTCATTTTCATTTAGTTTAACTTGATGTACTAAAATAACTAAAACTGAAATAAAAATATGTAGACAGCTTAAAAAATATAAAAACAAAACAAAATTATGACATATTAAAAAAATATAAAAAAAACTAAAATGACAAAAACAAGACAATTACACAACTTTAACTAAAATTAAAATAAAAACAGAAAATATCAAATAAAAATTAATTCAAAATATTAATAAAAACTAATACTATTTCAGTTATACTAAAAAAGCTCATAAGAGCATAAGAAACTTTCAAAAAGAAAGTCTTTCAAAAATATTACTGTCCTCAAACTTTTGAACAGTATTATGATTTTATACAAAAAAAATCCTCGTTTAAGGTCATTTATAGTAATTCAAATAAATTAATATTAACTATATAATAATAATTAATAAACATTAATAAAAACATTTTTAAATAGTTTTTTATATTTTTAAATATATGTATATTTTATTTGATATATTTTTGAACATTCAGTGAGAGCTGATTAAAAACAGCGTTTCTGTGTTTTTGTATTTCAGAGCGGCCCTGCAAGCGATACATTAGATGTGAGTGCCCTTCACGGAGGTGAAGGACAGGGAGGACTGATAAGATGGCAGCAGAGGTCCAGCGTCGGAGCGCTCCGAACCCTCCAGCCTTCCAACGCTGGACACAGCCGTCCTCCCCTGCATGCAAACCAACAGTTATCTCTCTGCCAGAACCACCCTCACCTCTGACTCCACCCAGCACGCTCCCGACCGAACGTCTTTATCCCAAGACTCAAGATTACATATATTAATCATCGAGAGCGATCATAGACTCCAGGTTCCCGTCTAGAGTTCTAATAACCCGCACGATTGCCGCCTTATCCACGGTCCTTCGCACTCGTCTTCACTGGCCTTATGCCCCCTGCGCCCAGGTACTCCCAAATACAGTAGATCATGTTTTAATAAAAATATCATCATTATTATTGTATTTATTGTTATTGTTACTACTATTGATTATATATGATTATTACTTCCGTCAGGATTCTAAGTATTGCTGTTGTTCTTGAGATTGTATATTTGATGGTCAAATTACTGATGTTTCGTTTTAAAACACTTATTTTCTTCTCTTTTTTTTAAGCATGGATTAAAAAAAAATTTATTTTTTTTTTGGTGTTCAGGTAATCTGAAGTCTATTTCGGCAGTGCTGTATGTTAAAGTTCACAGCTCGCTGGTAAAAGTAAAAAAGCAGCAGCGCACACGTGGTTTTAAGATTCAAAACTCATAGTCAATTTTCTCGCGAATATGGTGGCGAGCAGATTTTCTGTCACCGCGATCAGTGTTTGTATTATCAGGTCACCAATTAGATAGATCTCTTGGAGGCAGCTGACATCATCACATCATTGAGATTCGCCTCGTATATATCTGCAGGTTGCCAAGTTTAATTTCCTTCAAAAAGAGCTGTTTGTCTTTAAATCAGAGCATAATCTCATGTATTGGCCCTTGATGACCAGCAGCTGATGTGTCCTTCTTATTGACAATCAATGCTGATCTGGTTTTATGTGAGTTTTGGTGGTCTGTGAGACTAGGAATGTCTGTTTAAGCTTGTCGTCTTTTTCTCAAGGGATCTTGTAGGATGTTTCGAATGAGTACAGCATGTTGTTTTTAAGGGCCTTTCATTTAAAGCAGCAGCTAATTTACTGCTGTTCGCTGGCCAAGTGTGTTTAAGATTTAAATAGCCATTCTGGATCCCACGGTGATCAGAAACCTGTGAATTTTAACGTGTTTCTACCGTCGTCACAGGAATGTTGTGATTCACCTCGACTCAGGCACCTACAGCTATTCTTTGTTTTCTTTTTGTTCTGTACACGCAGGAACTTTTTATATATAATTTATGTGGTGTAATTAAGGCAGTTTTGTTCTTTGTGTTTTTTTTTTTAACGTGTGTGTGTGTGTGTGTGTGTACGTGTGTGTGGTTTTACAATACAATGGCACTGATATCCTGAATGTGAAAGCATCGTCACTGTATTAAAGTGTTGAAAGCCATAGCGCACAGAGCGAGAATTTCCAGCGGATTGTAAGGATGTTTTTATAAGTGTTGTCTTTCAGTCTAGCAGAACTGGAAGATAGTCTTATGTGGATTGACTAGGGGGCTTCCTGACAACTGGTACTGTTCGTTTTTGACGTCCTGTCAAAAGATTTCTCTCCTACTGAATGTGGGCTGCTACCTGAAGTCACATGACCTTTGTTGAGGCTGCTCAGTGTGCTTTATGTTGATTTTAAAGGAATAGTTCACCCAAAAATAAAGCTTTGCTGAAAACGTACTCACCCTGAGGCCATCCAAGATGTAGATGAGTTCTACATTCATCAGAACAGAGTTGAAGAAATTTAGCATCACGTCACTTTCTCACCAATGGATCCTCTGCAGTGAATGGGTGCCGTCAGAATGAGAGTCCAAACAGCTGATAAAAACATCACAAGTAATCCATCACTCCAGTCCATCAGTTAACAAATCCATCAAGACGTTTTTAACTTCTACCCTTGTTTCCAGCAATCCATAATATTGTTTTCTCCAGTGAAAAAGTCATTTCGTCTGAATCAGGAGTGAAATATGCACAAATCAAGTACCATTTACAAGTGAAAACCATTCTAAACAAATATGTCGGTGGATTGTGATGTGAGAGGACAACAGAGGATAGTCTCACTCACTGGATGAAGTGTAATTATGCATTATGGACTCGTATTTTAGCCAGAAGCAATAGATTAAAGTTAAAAACTGTATAAATTAAAATGTTAATTGATGCACTGGAGTGGTGTGGATTACTGTGATGTTTTTATCAGCTGTTTGGACTCTCATTCTGATGGCACCCATTCACTGCAGAGCATCCATTGGTGAGCAAGTAACGTAATGCTACATTTCTCCAAATCTGTTCTGATGAACAAACAAACTCATCTACATCTTGTACGGCCTGAGGGAGAGACCATTTTTAACCAAATTTCATTTTTAGGTGAACTATTCCTTGAATTTTACTCTGAAATGTGACTTTTATGTTCACTTTAATGAGAGTTTCAAACTCTATGTAAATGGTGACAAATACAACATCCGCCGCAAACAGCAATCCGCATGTCGACGAACCGGTGTTGTTATTTCTTTCTTATATGTGTGTTTAGTATTGCAAACAATAACCGCTCAACAAATACCTTGTAAAAACTACCGCTGCATAGTGTTAACTTATGCATGAACTTCAACTTCACAGTAATACATTTTGGTGACTTTTTTTGTTTCATTCTGTTTGTTTTATACTGAATGCTGGTGATTCTATCTATTTTCTGAGCTTTGTAAGTGCACATAACTATTTTTGTCTAAAAATGATGATAATGACGATGACTATCATGGTAAAACAACTATTCTGATTGTATGGCATGCTTTTGTAAAGGCATTTGTTGTTGTTTGAGCAGTGTTGGTTGCACCCATAGAAATTGTGAAATAATGTGTTTATTAGCTTGGGTCAGTCGCAGCGTTGTCACACTAGGTCACGTTATGCATGTGTTTTTATTACGGAATGGATCTTGCTTTGGCTGCCAGTCTATAAAAGGGACCTCGAATAATGTCTGTGTTCAATGCCATTTAATCAACGACCTTCCTTGTAGGGGAAGTCGTGGCCTAATGGTTAGAGAGTCGGACTCGTAACCCAAAAGGTTGCGGGTTCGAGTCTCGTACCGGCAGGGATTGTAGGTGGAGGGAGTGAATGTACAGTGCTCTCTCCTACCTTCAATACCATGACTGAGGTGCCCTTGAGCAAGGCACCGAACCCCCAACTGCTCCCCGGGCACTGCAGCAAAAATGGCTGCCCACTGCTCCGGGTGTGTGTTCACGGTTTGTGTGTGTTCACTGCTGTGTGTGTGCACTTTGGATGGGTTAAATGCAGAGCACTAATTCCAAGTACGGGTCACCATACTTGGCCACATGTCACATGTCACTTCACTATGTCACTTGACTTGTGCTTCGCTCAAATGCTGTCTAATCCTTTAGGGGGCGCTCTTTACCACAGCGTTCTAGTTAGAAACCATGCGTAACGTAGCGTTACAAGATCTCCAAGAATTCACTCACTTTTCTGCTTAAAAACAGAAACACGATCTTGATGCACTAACAAATTGTTAATGAAACCTAAATGTATATACACTGAATAACCACCAAATGAGTGTTTAATCTGTTATCAAGTGAGTTCTTCTCCAAACACAATGGCCTGTAGGTTGAAGTGATGAGTGATCTAATCTAATCAGGCCACTAATGGGAAGCTGGTGTGTGTTTGAGTGTGTTAGTGTTACACATAATGTGAAAGAGTGAATCAGTGTTGTGTTTCTCTAGTGGTGACGCATTGCTGCTCTTACAACATCAAGCCAATTGCTATTTGTAGTATTCACATTTGCTCCCAATGTCTTTTGTAATCTTTTGCTTAAGTCTTAACGGCTTCACATTTCTCTGAAGATCAGCCTTCCAACTTTGCAGAGTTTTTTTTTTTTTTGTATATAATCTCAAATCCTGCAACGGGATGATGTGGATTTCTCCTGATTCTTCTCATTAATATTCATATCTGTTCTTCCAATGTGCTCTCCCTCTTTTTCTCTCTATGTGTGCTATAGGAAATGTATTAAGATGTTATCAGTATTATCAATAAAAAGACTATGTCAAAACCCATGTGGTGGTTTTTATATCTACTGTATACTGAACTAAATGCTGTTCTGCTGACAGAGTGATCTTGCTAATAAACGTACGAGGCTTTATCTTAATGACCAGCTGCCTCTGAAAGCTGATAAGATATGAGAAAACAGCATGTGAATTTATTTCACAACTGTGTGTACTTTTGAGTGCTGAGTCACTAAAAACGGTTTGTGTTCAGTGGAAACTGGTGTAAATACCTATTACAGACAGTTGTTTGCACCAGTTGTCCAGTACTCTGGCCAGATGAATCAACAATGGCTGTTTACATGCTCATCATTAAGTTATGGTTATACTTGTTAAAGCATGCAGTCTTGTGCATACAAAACGTCTTAATAAACAGGTTTTTGATTGCATATGTTATATTAGTTTATAAACGTACGCAAACTTAGGCATATAAAATACTAAATATAGGGACAAAATAGATCTTTCCATGAGTTAAAAGGTCAAAATAGACCTGATCCATGATTCTTCCTGAAGTCTTCCAGAAACTGAAATATTACACTTTTTTTTTCTTTTTATTTGTGTTTCTTTTAGGAAACAAAACTGCAGTATAAGATGCACAAAACCCTTTCCGAAGGTTACACGGTAGCCTACAGTAAATATGTAAAATGGTATTACCATGGTTCTTAATTATGTACCATGGTAATGAATAATCAAGTTATTTATAAAATATAATTTGGTTTGCTAAGAACCAACTACTTCTTTAATATATATGGTATTTTCCTAGTAAAGATAAATATTTGCGTAATGTTTTGATCTTTACACAAAATGTGCAGAAAAAAAGCTCGCGCCGTGCCGCTAACGTCATGCGAGCTCGTGACGCGGAGCAGGTGCTCGCGCTGCCTAGAAACGAGCGACTCGTTTATCTGATTACGAGACCCGTCCCGCTCCTGATACCTCACTCTTTCCCTTTAATTTTTGTGTTTTATGACATTAAACTGCACTATACAGGATCTCCTGCTCTGAGAGTAAGTATCTGAATCGCTTTTATCTATATTTTCGCAGCGCTTTTGATTTGAATGATTCTGTCAGTGAGGCGTTAGCGAGTCAGTTCTGCATCTGTCAGCAGCCTTGCCGGTACTGAGGAGAAAACTTTGTAATTAGACACAGTTAATGCTGTATTTATTTTTAAAGCGGTATAATTGTATTATCTTCCCCTGAGGCATGGGCAGTTTAAACGCATGTTTGATGGTTTAATAGAGAGTTTTGATATTAGCTCGTGTTAGCTGAAGCTAGCCGGTGTGGTCCGTTACATTACTCATGAGACCTTCACTGCTGCCAAGATTTTAAACTCTTATTTTAACTTATTAGTGACTATTTTGCTATTTGTTTATTTATTTTTTACCTCTTAAAAATCTTATTCGTTAAGAAAAGCCTTTTTCTATGCACCTATAGTCATGAAAAGTTGACATCAGAAATTCTTTACTATAAGAAACATTTATGTAATTATTTCTGATGATTTTCCACACACTGTTGAAAAGTTTAATGTCGTATCATGCTCGACAAGGTTTTGGTATCCACTGATTTACTGTACACACATTACAGGTTCAGCATTCCTGATGCAAGCAGAGTACAAGTGTCTTTTTATACAGTGTTTGAACTTCTTATTGCAGAAATGACGGCTGTTTTGAGATATGGATGTAATTTAGAGTGTTTCAGGGTTTAAAAATGTTGTTCCACACATATAATCAGTCTTCATAAATTAAAGGACAGCACACAAGTGCAACTGTCTCAGGCTTGGGAAGAATTCTTTGCATGACTTCTGATCAAAACAGACCTGTAGGACCGGCACAAAAACATTCTATTCATTCCTAAACATTTACTGTTGCCACAATTTAATTAATCTTATTTATTGACATGCTTCGTCTGGTGTTACTTTCAGTTTCCTGGGACTTTAATTGAATAGACCTTGAGCGGAGGAGTAAGAGGACAAGCACCTTTATTAAAGGAACACATCCAGGATCTGTTGGATTCAGTGCTGCGTGGAGCTTTAGTTCTCGTGGTTGGTTTGGAGAGGCAGTGGAGCTGGTTTAAAGACTGCGATGCATCGCTTAAGGACTTGCGCTGCACGGCTACGGCCGCTCACAGCCTCTCAGAATGCTCCAAGTTTCTCACAACAAAGGACAGCAGTGACGCCCGGGGCCCTAAGGACGTTTCAGCCCTTTAGGTGCTATGCGGCCCCTGTCGCCGCTGAGCCTTTTCTCAATGGGACGAGCTCCAACTATGTGGAAGAGATGTACTACGCATGGCTGGAGAACCCAAAGAGTGTGCACAAGGTAAGACGTCGGCTCTCAGCATAGAGGATTTTGTGACGAAATCCTGGCTTCATTGCTGCTATACCAAAGTTATGATGCTTAAAATCCATGTGGAATCAAAATTCACCCTGTTTACTTTCACAATACACATTCTTGTTCATATTGTGAAAGACTAATCTGTGCATGTTACACTAGAGAAAAACAATTGTCTTCGTAATCTTTCATCACAACTTAATAACTTCTCAAAGGACTTTCCTTTTTGGTCTTCAGGTTCATTTTTAAAAGGTGAATTGGTAATTGTTTGCGTGTTGAAAGAGCAGTTCACCCAAAATGAAAGTCATCATTTACTTACT